TCTCTCTCTCTCTCTCTCTCTCTCTCTCTCTCTCTCTCTCTCTCTCTCTCTCTCTCTATCTATCTATCTCTCTATCTCTCTACCTATCTATCTATCTATCTCTATCTCTCTATCTCTCTATCTATCTATCTGTGTGTGTGTGTGTGTAGGTGTGTGTAGGTGTGACGATTTATTAAAATTGGAATGAATCATACAGAGAAGATTACCATTGCCCCTGCACAATTACGGACGACTCACACAAATCGAGAAGGTGTAGGGGTTGGGGGGTAGGCCTGAAAAGGGTGCTCAACTGCAGGTAAGATATCCGCATGGGATCCTTTCTTCACAGCTCCTATTATGTCACCTGGTGATCCTTTTGCCCCGTCCGGCTGTGTTGGCCTACGACACACATGGCAGGAAGTACTTGATTTAAAAAGAAAAATGCTCCGATCTATTTGTGGGGGAGCGGCACGTGCTGTGTTGGGAGGGGGGGAAATCAATTACTTCAGACATTGGTCCGAAGTAATTGATTCTTGAGAGGGCAGCTCTGTGTTTTCCTTTTTTTATTTTTTTGACGTAAGCTACATTCTTCTCTCAATTTCACCTCACACTACCTACCTACCACTACTCCTAATTATAGTCATACGGGGAAACCCCGTAGCAGCCAAAACCGTGTTCACGAGAGGAGATGCGGGGGCTGCTCCGAACCTGCAGGTGGGCGATACCGACCAGGGGACACCCGGTACCATCAGGGACCATGCCAACAGGACCAATCCCTGTGCCTCCCCTCAGGTGGTGGTCCCCCCCCCATCCCTACGAACATCAGCAGACTCTTCTCAATGCCGATCGGGCCATCCGGTGGTCTATCTCTAGGTGGCGGGCGCCAAGCAGGCCCAGGGAGGTAGTGGTGACAGGTTTTCATTGCAGTTGAGTTGGTATGAAAGTAGTGGCAATACGGTCTCTTTAGGATACAGTTTTGGCCCCTGGAGCCCGGGCCTGTTAGTTTGCTTTGTGTGGTTTTGGCCCAGTGTGGTACGTTGCCGGGCCTTTTGAGCCCAGCGAGGCTCGATGGTTTGTTTGGATTTGTGTTGGCTCAGGTCGATGGACACTATATGTGGTCCGGACCTTTGTATCTCTTTTCCTGTTTGCTTTGGCTATCGTGGACTCGAACCGGTAACCTCAGGGCTACATGAGTACCATCAGACTCGGCAGTAGTCAGAAGTCAGACCCGACCTGTGTTTGGGGAACGACAACACTGGAGCGCGTAGTACTTGAGCAATGATTGTTTCGCAGAAGTCCTCTTTCGGTTGGCGGTCTTCCACGGCATATGCCGGGAGACTGCTTAGGGTAGGCGGAACGAATGGTGGTTCTTGGGAGTTGTGGAAAGTTTGATTGTTGACCGACTGTGTACTCTACTTCTCAATCATGTGTGTGACTACGTGTGGTGTGTATTACGATGTGTGCTACTCAAGGAGTGAGTTGCTAATTGGATTTTTTCCTAAGACGTATAACATCTTTCATAGACCACGAAGGTACATCTTGTTGTTGCTTGTTGTTGTTGTTGTTGTCGTTGTTGTTGTTGTTGTTGTTTGAATAATGGAAACACCGGCCAGTGTCTGGTAGGGGAAGTAATAAGAGCATCTCCCCCTAGCACAGCTGATCCCGGTCGCTTCAGTCCATTGCTGGGGAGCAGCACCTGCACGAGAGTCCACACAGAGACCGCAGTCTAAGTTGCTCTGTGTGGACGCTTGTAGCGACCCGTACAAGCATCCACACAGAGCGACTTAGACTGCGGTAGGGCCCATCTCGGGGGGGATAATCCTACGCACACACTGGGTGTTAGTATCCCTGGTACATCAAACTGTTGTCTTTTAAGCTCAGCGGTCACCTTTGGTCCTTTGGGGCCCTGTGTGTCCTTCTGTTTTCCCTTTTCTTTTTTTTTCAACTTCGGTGGGGGGGACCACTTGAGGGGGTGATAAGAGCATAACATGAGGGAAGGGAAAGTGGCAGCGGTAAGTGACCAGGAGCCAGACAAATGCAGTGCCCAAACTAAAAAAAAACAGTCTGCATGAATCCCGAAACGAAACGAGACCAGTTAGAGTCCCAGCTCCAAGTAGAGACCTTCTCCCTGATGTGTCTACCCAAGCTCTTCTTCTTCTTCTTCTTCTTTTTTTTTTTTTTT